ACGTAGGTTTGTTATCTGCATAGGTATACATACTAGCATTTAATATTAAAATAAGCGGAGACCCCCAGTATCACCCTTCAACAGTATGACATAAAAGGGAGGGTGTCCTTCATCTGCAGTACCGTTGTGGAATCTGATCAATGGAGCCGTTGTTAGCCATGGACAACGGGCACATAAGAAGTTTCTGAAATGGCGTGCAATAACCTCTATGTGTATTCTTTCCATGAACACTAGCTCGTCCGGGAGTATTAGTACGATCTGGACTTATATTTCCACATGCCAAAGCGGGCATTGCGGATCTCAAAGTACCTATGGTGAGAGGGTGAGAGAAAGCGATATTAGAGACGCCAACTGCACATAGCAGCATATATCCCCCCAACCCCTTCCAGAATATAACAAGGTGTGAGATGCTGCGAAGTCTGCGCGAAATTGGCGCGGACTTTGGCACGGAACGCTTGGGCCCCGCATCCCTATCTTCCATCTATTCTTTTTCTGGGGAAAACCTGGAGTCGGACTCCAGGTATCATTATTAGCAATGATTGGCTTCCCTGAGGTCTGTAGGAGGAGGTTCTGATCATCTTAGTCATAATTCCGTGGATCCGAAAGGAAAGCATATCTCCATAGTGGGGACACTGAGGAGAGTGGTTTAACGAAATCTGCACGAGGTCTTCCCGAGAGTATAAGAAAATGGTGCCGCTTGGGCCGCTTGGGAGGGGGTGCGAGACGGACGATCTTCGGCACAGTTTAGTTGAACTATACTGACTCTTGGGCCTCCTAGCAGCTGAAACAGTCCACACCACTACGAACGGCCCATTTATAACGGAGATTGATTTAATCTACGCTCCTTCTCGTAAATTTACGTAGATTCGCTATAAACCACGGCACCAATTTCAAAACACGTTCCTATTGACGCAAAACATCGCGAGAGAAAATGGCGCCTTACAGTACGATCGACAGCGGCGCGACCCGATCCGTTGGAGCAGAAGAGACTCCAGTCGATACGGAATTCCTCATTGTCGGGGCAGGTCCTGCCGGGGCCGCCTTGGCTTGCTTCCTTGGTTCTCATGGTATGTTTTACTGCATTGGTATGGTAGTCGCTACTTGGTACTAACGCTGTGAAGGGCTGAAGGGTATCATGATCAGCAGCGCTCCAGGAACAGCGAATACGCCTCGCGCACATATTACTAATATGGCGGCACTGGGTCAGTAATCTGCCAAGGTAGCAAATACGGATTTGTCATTGACACATTGACTTGTCCATTCAGAGTGTCTACGGGATATTGGTCTCTATGATGAACTGGAGAAGCTGGGATGCACGGGGGCAGATCATATGCAACACACACGATGGTGTCATAGTATGGCAGGCGAGGAGTACGCACGCATCCACTCCTGGGGAAATGACCCTAGAAGAAAGGTGAGATCAGTTGGTCCTCTCGTACTCTGTCAAGGAGCTAGATTGACGCAGGACATAGGGAGACTATGAACTAGCTAGCCCATGTGAACCATTTGATCTGCCGCAGACGATCTTGGAACCAGTTCTGGTTCGGCATGCAGCTTTAAAAGGCTTCAAGTGTCGCTTTGATTCCACGCTCGTTTCTTTCTTTAGCGACCCGAAGACCGGCTTGATCACTGCCAATATTCACGATAAGATGACAAACAAGGAATACCAGATCCAAACACGATATCTGTTCGGAGCTGACGGTGCCCGGAGTGAGGTGGTAAAACAGCTTAACCTGCCTCTGGTGGTTCAGCCTGGCCAAGGGATTGCAATCAACGTGCTGGTCAAAGCCGACCTCTCCCATCTAGTTAAAAACCGAACGGGCAATCTTCATTGGGTTATGCAACCAGATCGAGAGCACCCAGACTTTGGCTGGATGGGAATCGTTCGTATGGTGAAGCCATGGAATGAGTGGATGTTCATTCTATTCCCAGATCGTAACTATGACCGTTCTAAAGGCCAGCCGTCTCAAGATGCGTATCAAAAGAGAGTCCAAGAGTTTATTGGCGATGATACACCTGCAGAGATCTTGGATATCTCCACGTGGTATATCAATGAGATCGTCGCCGAGAAATATTCAGAGGGTAACATGTGAGTGTTGGCTCCGTCGATCTGGTGAGCGGAATGTCTCTGACAACGACGTTTTATTCCTAGCTTCTGTCTTGGTGATGCCGTGCACCGCCACCCTCCATTGAACGGGCTTGGATCGAATACCTGCATCCAAGATGCCTTCAATCTCGCTTGGAAGGTCGCATATGTTCACAAGGGACTGGCGTCACCGTCTCTTCTATCAACATACTCCATTGAGAGACAACCTGTGGGTCATTCGATTATCACCAGAGCGAATCAGGCATACCGCGACCACTTTCTCGTGTGGGAGGCACTCGGCATGTTGCCCACGGACTTGTCCGCACGGAAGGAGATTTTGGAGGAGTTAAAGAGTGCGACACCAGAAGGATCCAACCGCCGTCGTGCCCTTCATGCGGCAATCAAGCATACCTCTCATGAATTCCATGGATTGGGAGTTGAAATGAATCAACATTATGACAGCCAAGGTGTCTACACAGCTGATGAGCCCAATCCCTATGCGCCGTCCAGACGGGCGTCTGAAGATAGCATCTTGTTTCATGAACCAAGCACTTATCCCGGGTCTCGATTGCCTCATGTGTGGCTCAACAAAGCAACCCCGAGAGAGCCTATTTCAACAGTCGACATTGCTGGCCATGGCTCTTTTGTCCTCTTGAGCGGAATCGGAGGTGGGCGATGGAAGAAAGCAGCCGAAAATGTTGCCGAAGCGCTTAAGGTTCCAATACAGGTGCATTATATTGGGTTCAGACAAGATTGGGAGGACGTTTACTTTGAGTGGGAAAACTTGCGAGGCGTGGAGGAATCTGGAGCCGTGTTGGTGCGACCAGATCGATTCGTAGCGTGGAGAGCACCGCAAGTTCTCAAGGATACTGAAGCATGCGAAGCGAAGCTCCTTACAGTGATGAGAACCATTCTAGGATACCTTGATGTATAGTACTCACAATGTTCCGTTTCTGCCGGTCCTGGTCCGGCTGAAATATGATGGGGTGGGCGAAGCATAGCTGTTATATTGACCAAGTCTTCGGGTCCTCTTTGCGGCATCTGATTGAGATATTCATTAATTAAGCTATTCACCAGAAATTATATACCTGTATGTATATTCGCCAAGTATTCCACGCGCCTCTCTAGCCATAAAATAAATATTTTCCCATATTATATTCCTCCTGGGCAAGTTCGCGCAAGACAAATCCGCGCAAGAGATATTCCCCGAGCGGAAAGCTATCACTCATGGAAAATTATGTGAAATGGCAGGGGCTTAGCTATCCATGAAAGGCTGCTACTACTATTACTTTCACGCCTCTAACTAGGCAAAGGCAAATGCACTTATTTATTTGGATAATCACGAACACAATTTCTCACGATTTGTTACCCTTACTCATAGTAGACTTCGTTAATCAAAGTTCCGATATTCTCAATTTCCACTCGCATATCGTCACCATGGTTCAGGACAACCTTGGGGTTACGCATAGCGCCAATTCCAGGACCCGTTCCGGTCATGATAATGGTGCCCTTTTCGAGAGTGGTCCCCTGAGAGAGAAATGCAATAGTTTTTGCAATATCGAAGATCATTTCCCTTAAAAGTAAAGCTGTCAGCTACCTTGGAGGGTTGACATGGTGGCAACAATCGATCCTCAAGATAGACTCACCTAGTGTTTGAGTCTTGCACCACATTGCCATTATGGATGGCTTTAACTTGCAGATTATGCGGGTTGCCGATGGCGGATGGAGACACAAGGACTGGGCCCAGTGGACAAGATCCGTCGAGACCTTTTCCATTAAACTAAGTCAGCTCCGGGCAAATGACAAACTAATTGGCTTGGGAGATAATGAGGCGCAACTAGTCTCACCTTTTGAGAAGGACCACTGGCTGTTCTTGAACTGCTGTGTTCGAGCACTAACATCATTGCTGCAGGTATAACCCAACACGTACTTCATGGCCTCTGACTCGGGAATATCTCGACCAGTCTGAGACAGAATAATCGACAGCTCTGCCTCATAGTCGCTGGAGCCATCCTGTGCAATCTTGGGCACGTTTATCTTGGCAGGATGGGGTCCGTTGAGTGCCGTGCGCGGTTTGATAAAGACGACCGGCACATCCGGAATGGGCATGTTCGCCTCTCTGGCATGGTCGCGATAGTTGAGCCCCAGGCACCGGATAATGGGCACTTCTTCCATTCCAATGGGAGCCAGAAGCTGTTTTCGAATCGGAGTAGTTAGTTTCGAATCTTGGATTCCAGGTGTTCAGGATGGCGGAATACATACTCTGGCAATGTGCACCGTTGTGTCGGTTACCGTGCCATCGAAGATCGACCCTTTGATCAACTTGACTGCAACTCTCTCGCCATTCAATATTGCGATCCCAACATCTGGATACCTGCTTGGATCGACTTCACCAAAGTGGATTTGGCCATCTTCTTCGCTGATGAATCTCACGAGGTGTGCCCAATTAGGACCCATGTTTGCTAATTCTTCTGGGGTCAGATATTATTCGCAAATCTAAGGCAGTAAGTAGGTCAAGTATTCTTTCTCACGGGAGTGCGATTGTCAAGCGTGAGCCATGGCAGCCTTTTTGAACTTCCCACGTCAGACCTTAAATGGGACTTATCGATAATTCCTTACAAAGACACATGGAACGATTTCGGTCTATTTGCGCTCGGTGGTTTATCTCCCATGAGACCAGTTTGGGTTGGCGGGGGGCTGACAGCAAATGCATTCGGGCGGACTCTCTTCGGTGCAATTTTCAGTCGTCAGACTGCCGGCGTGGAATACGAATGACACCATCCCCCGCAACTTGAGGGGGGTAAAGAAAGTTAGCCTTTGTGATTAAGATCCACCATAAACTGATTCAGCATGAATAAGACTCGGGGTTGGGGGATCTCCAGTCATCGCAACGTATCCAGGCCGGTTGCCCGGATCTTCTGACTGTGGAGGGCTGTAACTAACCCGGATTGCAACACGCACTGCTATGCTCCCAACTCTTGCCAATCCGATGAATCTTAACAAGCCAAATTCACCTTCTACGAGTGACGCGTTCCCTAAACTATACGGGCTAGATGGCTTCTTTATGGATTAATTCTACTAGCGCTTCTACCGCAGTCTTTTTTTCCAATGTTGGCCTATATTAAGGTGCAACATGCATTATGCCTTCGAATAATCGAATCGCAAAAGCCAAATCGCACAATGCAATGGTAAATTACAAATTAGAGTCATTTGCGCAAGAATTTCTTTTTGAATATTGATGGTGACAAAGGCTCAAGTCTAAGCGTAGCTGTCTAACCAACATATCATATAAAATATGCACCAAGAGGATGTTACTCCGTTACGGTAGTAGGAGCAAGGCATTAAGCGACGTATACTAATCTCCACCTTCCTGATGGTGTCGGATATAAGACGACGAAAAGGAACCAAAACTGTTTCTACTGCAGGAAGGTGGGAGGAAGGTCGGGACCTAGTGATACATTAGCAGAATGGAACTAGATTGCATCATGCTCATTCAAAGGCCTACCCCAAACGTGCAAATTATCCGGTGCGGCAAGGGTTCGATTCGTTGGGTGTTGGTCATTTACCAAATCACCATCTACGTAATGCTCGATAATGAAACGAGAGGTATCAAACCTTTTTGGATCAAATGTGTGTGAGAAATTTACCTTCGAGAGGATGGGATCATGAGGCATACCAATAATCGAAGATCTGACTGCCCATGATATGACGTCCAACGCCCCAACAGTTCTCATACCCCTTGCTGCGGAGCCAGTCGTGACCCAGCACTTGTGTGTCAAAATCATGCGTCTCAAATGATGAGTGGTGAACGTGCGACCTAGGCCCCTCGAAAAAGAAAAAGCAATGGTGATCGACCAGCTCAGAACCGCGGTCCAGATGGAGAAAGGTGGTTATATCTCTTCCGGTAGAATCGTGAACCAGCTAGACCAGGTGGTAAAGACTCTGGGTCAGTATACGCTGAGCCTCGTGAAGAGCCAAGCCGTGGAGAAACTAACATCGCTTGGCTTGAAGTTGAATCGCGTAGTATAGAATTCAAATGCCTTCGCAAAATTGGTCACACACATTCCGAAATGACCTAATTTGTGCACAGGTGCAGGTCCTTGTGGTTTTCGAAGGTTCAATAGAGATTTCTAGAGATTAGGTAACTAGGTTCGTTCTGTCGCTTACCTTTCTTGAACCGTTGTGTCTTGTTCCCTGGCCGGTGTTTGTCTGTTGGCTGGGGGGAAGGTCAGACGGTTGCCGAGGAGCTAGTTATATATACAAGGAGAATCACTGACGAAATTGTAATCAAGTTGTGGAAGCACCTTCTCATCGGCATGGGCCTTTTGTCCATGAACAAGGTGAAATGGGAACTTGTCGATGGGGTCATGGAAAGTGACGCAGCGACCACCACCTGGCGCATCTTTTAAGTCGTAGATGCCTGTCGCCCCAGGTAACTTCGTCGCAGCTAAAAGATCCGATTCGGATTCCACGACAAAGGCTGCGCCTCCAAACTCGTCTTTGTCGCCTTGTCGCGCACAGTACACAAATGGCTCCGAACTGGTGCCACGGTAATAGATATCCTTGCCCACACGCTTGACTTCCTGGAATCCGAAATCCAGTAGGAATTGATGGGCTTTGTCGATTTCTTTATGGGTGTAGAAGACATGCGCAATGCGAGTGAGCTGAATTCGAGATTCATTGCTTGAGGCTGCCATTTTCGTGACTTATCTTCAACAAAGATTAAAACAATATTGAACGGTAGATTGTTGTTCCAGATAGAAACGTTCCAAAGTGATATTTCCCTTTTCTAAATACCCCAGCCCTACCCCACAAAAAGCCCAAGGGGTGTGGTGTGATCTTGCTTTCTAACCGGGTTCACGGACTGGAGCGAAATTATCCCGGTCCCGCACGGACTATCTTCGGTCAGTTGCTTAGAGCAGAAGACGAACGAGCAAGCAGGGACATTGGATACTTTATAAAGAAGTGGTTTCTCGCTGTACTTTTGGTTTTGGGACATTGGAATACGAACTAGAGATAGATCATCCTTTGTCTTCGCCGGCTGGGGGTGGGATACGTCACTTTATATTTTGATATAGACTATCTCCATTCCAATTCACACCTAGGCGGTATTTGAAACATTACATGCCTTGAGTGAGAGCGGAGTTTACAGGAAATCCATACACGGTAAATTTGTGCTATGCCCAGGTCCATAGGGTACCTAGGTAGATTACAGAGGGATGGAGTGGCCAATTGCGGAAAAATGGGGTGAGGATAAATCCATCCAACAATTGCAAGAGTGCACGGGGGTGTAGTTCACCCTGAGAGTAAATCATATATGCCACCAGGGATATCAAAAGTGGGCCAATCAAAGGCCTGGTCGAGCTGATATATTGTATCAAGGGAGTGAGAGTTCGGGGGCACCATGTAGTCCTCTGGAACCTGGGTCCTACTCGGTTGTGGAGGAGTCATATAGTCGAGCATTGCCACGCTATCTGCTACGAATGGGTATTTTCGCGCATGGTTTTGGGCTGTAATGTCTAACCTGGCATCAATCGAGGCTGAACCGGTGAGTGGGACACTAGGCGTTTCGGGTAGGTATTGAGAGGCTTGTCGGGCTGTCCAGTCAAAATTCAGGCTGCGCTCTACGTTTTGACCTTCTTGGTCCGAGGTAGGCTGGTTGATCCTATCGGTGTCTTCCGATGCCCGATTAGACGCTTCTTGAGAGGATGGACAAGCTCGAACCTCCGGTTTCTTGTTCCGGGCTTCCAGTTGCTCCTCGATCAACTCTAGGTTCTTCTGGAGAGCGGTTTGAATATCCCAAAATTGAACGCATCGCTTGTAGGTCAGATAAAGAACATCGAAGCGCGACTTTACTAGATCTCGATTGGACTGTGCTCGAGCAAAATGTTTGCGGACCAGTTGCACCGCCGAGGCAAGCCATATGGTACTAGGGAGAAATGGATTAATATGCTGAACATGATCCTCGCAACTCCGATTCACTATTCCCAGAATACGATCTGCTGCCTCGTAATACTGTCGAAGCGCTCCATTTTCCGTATCGAGCAGACTAAATGTACTCCGACCAGCGGAATTTCCGGAAGGATGACGGCCACTGGTTTCAGTTGGACGATTTTGAGATCGGAATGCGTCATATCTGTAGATCATCAAACGAGCTAATTGGGTCATAACGAAGATATTGTAGATAGAGCTGTGCTGCTGTCGTTGAGATTCTAACTCCCCTTGTACCGGCGCCCCAAAGGCCAGATATTGATCGCGATACTGGAGATGGCTGGGCAAAGCCAAAGTAAAGCAGCGTACGGCGTTTGCCAATGTCTCCAATTTTTGACGAGCCTCCATGGCCGATTCGAGTGTTGAACTCTGGCTATTTGGCATTTGCTGGCGATAGCCCTGATTACCTATGGCAGCCACTCCTTGTGGGTCACAGGCGATCTGGGCATTCTTCATGAGAGAATTGATAACTAGGAACCACGCTTTCGATGACTGGTTACCACTGTCCTGCAACGCCTTCCAACGCTTGTTTATGTCCGCCTCCATAAAGCAGCTTGAAGTAGGGCGGCCCGAGAACCAGTGAGCGTTGTCAACTGGAAGCAATATTTCCATTTGGCTCCAGTTAATGGTAGTTGGCGTCCGACGGATAGTACTGGCAAAAACATCCATTTCCCAGATGGCCCAGAAAGCACGACGCTTTTCTTCGTCTTCTTGCCAGTGGTGGGGATCCTCCGTTTTTATAACCTTCCCGGAATCAAGAAGATGCAGGTTAGTTTCGTATATCAAACTGACACACAAACCCAGAGATCTCCACGCCTTTCCGCGGACCCCCTGGGTCAGTCGACAATGCGTTGCAATAATGAGAGCCTGTATAACGCAAAGTGGCGGCATCTCATCGCCACATTCCGCAAGCGCCTCATTTATGTACTTGAAAGCAAGGTCAATGAAGTATGCAGCTGTCGGTGACTCTTTGCTACGAGCTGAACTGCGTCGCTAGCTATGTCGTTGGTTCTTAGGGCACCAAAACGTGAGGCATACCCAGCTATGGCTGCCAGAAGGGCAGTCAATTGAGAAAACGAAGAGATATTCGAAAGCTTTTCTGCAAACGAAGGCTCATGAAAGATATTGATAGCGACCATGTTGTCGAAAAAAACTCGAATGCTATTAGTGCAATTAGCTTATCTATGTTCCACTTCGACAACTCTTTAGGTAACCGAGGTCGTTACATTTCATTCATGAAAGCTGGCGAGACGCCTAGCTCTGTGCAGGCTTGACGGCAGAGATCTGTCTGTTGGCCGTCCTGAGAGCTCGGGCTCTGCTTTTGGGAGGGACTTGTGGCCTCGTGGGATGGATGTAAAATGAAAGCGAGATCAAGTGTATTCAACTGAGAGGTTCGGTGTTGCGAGCTTCCCCGCGCCTCAATCCCAGTTGTCTCAGTAGGATCGGCGGGAACGACGAGGGCCAACTCTTCTTTCTCCGGCTGATCGTTCAATGCGTCGAAATAACTATCCCGTCGGCCATTGTCGGGACCGGGTGGCGGTCTAGAAGGCGAGTTAATCTGTCGTCTCTGCGCTGTCTCATTCTGTCGTGGGCGTTTTCTCTTCTTCTGCGAAGACCCTAGATCTTGTCAATGTGCCTCCAACTTGTCGCGGTTTATGGCAAAATGTGGCCATTCCATACCGATTTTAGGCCCGGGTTTCATTGACCGAAGCGGATAATTGCATGTCTGGCCTGTTTGATCACAGACCATGCACCGTGGCAATGCCCGGTCGCTGACAGCTGTTACTTCACACATACTTTGGCAAGACTTGGTTCAAGTTTTCACGTACCACTTGACCTTACGCCTAGTTATCAGCACATGAGCCCCGTTCTCTCCTAGTCTTGAGAACATCGGGTAAGACTTACTTGCGACACGATTGACAGGCCAAGTCAGATAACGACATTCTTGCGAGAGGCTTTCTAGGCTGTGCCCACATTCACATGTCATCTGGTGACATCGACAAGGGATTGAAGTGAGAAAGGACTAGGATGTATACAAAGAAAATCCAAGAAGATTGCTGGCACCGTGCCCCGTGGGGTATCGCCTGTGTCACGAGACCCCCAAAATCACCCCGAAGATGGTCCGAGAGTGACGTCATTTTTGGCCGATTGTGTCGATCATTTTGTCTGGCATAATGTATTGAAGGAAACATCAACATGATTAAATGCTTGTTAATCCATCTTTTTTACTGAGATAGTTTCGGAGGGGGAAGGACAACCTCTGTGTTTCTTATACTGTTAGTATCATAAATCGTCAGGTATTGGAACATGTTTCATAAAAAACTGGTTATTTATGGTCTATTCAATAAAGTATAGCGAGACATGTGCCCAGGGTTCAACCCCTGAGAGTTGAATCAATGGAGACTCAACCCTTGGGGCTTGACAAAGACATCAAAAAGGAGAAAATATAGCCGACATGCTCTAGTCAATTCCTGAGTATTCTTCAATCTGTGCAACAATGGACACAAAACCTGACTTGATTGGACTTGGTCGGGTTGGGTGTGGTATGCGCATTGGAGACATCGCAGTGAAGACCGCGAACACATGGACGGTGCCTGCAAACGCATCGGAATATACATCTATTGTCTACCAGCAAACCAACAGAACGAATGAAGAGTCGTTGATACATGAAGGGCGCATTTATCAACGCCTCGCGTTTGTGGAAGGTGTCCTGAAGCCGCTGCATATCTCCAATAAAGAAATTCGGATGCCGTATATCGCCCACGGGTCTCTCGACAAACACCTGAGTACAAATAAGACATCTATCAACAATGAACAACGCTTGGGGTGGTTTCAAAATGCTGCAGAAATTATTAATGGGGTACATGAGCAACGGGTTATTATTGCTGATATCGCAGCACGGAATTTCCTGATTAACAAGGATCTCTCGCTCCAGCTATGTGGTTTTCCGAGTCACTTATCATACCAGAAGACACAACTCCAGATACGTGTATTTCAGAGGATTTCCTCTCCATCAAGTTCGACATTGCGCGTTTTGGATCGACGATGTATGAGATCGTGTCCGGCAACCGATATGAATTTTATGTAAACCCTGAGATCGACAAGGACTTGGATGACGACGAATCGAAAACGTATAAAGACTGGCCGACGAGCGAACAATTTCCGGACACGAGAAATATATTCCTAGGTGATATAATTCGCAAATGCTGGCTTAAGGATGGTTATTGCAGCATGAAAGAGGTTCATACCGCGTTACATTCCACACGTGCTTCTATTGAAGCAATTGAAGCGACCCTAGATTGGCGTTACATATTTCGCGTGGGAAGCCCGATAATCACAACAATAATATTTAGTATGATAGTCGCCCGCCGTCTTCTATGGCGAAAAGTTGTGGATACTATCACATTTAAACATTAGATCGTATCCTTCAAGTGTATAGTGATTGAGTCCTGACTGGCCAAAGATATTCACATTATTCAATTTTCAGGGGATTATATTTATTGTTAGAAAGTAACAAAGCAAGTAGCAGGATTGTTAAACTATCTAGTGCTCTTAATGCCCTGTGAGTCAATAGTGTATCCGGATTGTTCAACTTTTGAATAGCCCATGTTCTCGGAGCAGCTAGTTTGTAGATGAAAAATAACCACCGACAAACCCCAGATAACATATTTTTGTGTGCATTGCTTTAGATATCCTGTTAGAAGTCTACTTTGTCATTGAGCCGGTGGTCTATTTCTCCTCTTCCCTGCTACATAGTATGTCCTCACATCTACTAGCATACAGGCCGAGGAAATACTCAACAATCCCAACGACGACAATATATATCCACCCGACCTAATTCAGTCTTACGCAAACGCGAAAACAACCCAACCCAAACATATAAAATGACGTAATCCACCAAAGCCCAGCCCCATCAAGTAAACCCGGTCGAAAAACTCTACCCTCCACGCGACCCTACATAACAATGCCAATATAGCCCTTACCCCACATACAGGAGGAAAACAACAGAAAAGCCAACCCGAAAAGCGGTACCCCGCCGCCGAAAAAATCCCTCTGGATACCCGTGCACTAGGCCTATTCTGGACAATGTAGCCTACTCTCGGTCGGCCCGGCGGGTCACCATTTGGGATGCTGCGGCCCGTCCGACGACTGCGTAGGCTATGTTGACCTGATTAGGTATAGCGTAGTTGGGGTAGGGCTCTGGGTTACATCCATAATAGGATTTTGGTGACATATAATTTTTTGGTGGGTTTTCGGGGTGGATATTGTTAGTAACGGGGGTAAAAGAATATTTAAAATCTGGTGACTTTGGGAAGGGTTTCTGACTGAATTAATTGTTTGATCTTTGTGTCTTTTTTTGTTTTTCTTTGTTTTTTTGAAAACTGTTGCTCAGAATTACGAATATCAACCGGGATTTATACTAGACTTAATAATTGCGAGATTCGACTCACGGAGAACAATACTGAGAGAATAGAGGAAAGTTGGTTATATTTAAAAATGGCCTCAAAACCACAAATCTGCGTCATCGGGTCCCTCAACATCGACTTCGTCACATATGCCCGGCGTTGTCCCGGGCCTGGCGAAACGCTGACGGGATCCTCCCTGTCTATCGATGCAGGTGGTAAAGGTGCGAACCAGGCGGTTGCATGCGCACGAGCGGCTTTCAGTTCTAAAGCCCAACAAGATGTGGCGGTGAGCATGATCGGAGCTGTCGGTGCAAATGATCCATATTATCCGACGCTGCTACAGCCAGCATTAGAAAAGTCAGGGGTGGACACCACGGGAATCGAGCAGAGGACAGACTGTCAAACGGGCTCGGCGACTATTATCGTGGAAGAAGGCGAGCAAGGGGAGAATCGCATTGTGGTGGTACCGGGAGCAAACCATGATGGAATGAATGATGTTGATAAGCTCCTTTCCGTTGTCCAGACACAGTGTCCTGCATCGCCACAGGTCGTGGTTCTGCAGGGAGAGATTCCCAGATCAACTGTGATTGGCCTGATGCAGCATTATAATCGGAGCGAGAATCCAACGAATGTCGTTTTGAATATTGCGCCCGTATATCCGGAGGGCATTCCTCTGGCTGCTCTATCCAGCACAGCGGTCTTGATCATGAATGAAACGGAGACTATCCAGATGGCGGAATCTATTCCTGATTTCCCCGTGGGATCTCAAACCGAAGCTGACCTACAGCCGGAGTTGTTGGCCCCGCTTTTCCACAAGGTGGCTAAGGTTCCCATTGTTTTGATCACACTCGGCGCGAAGGGAGTATTCTTCTCGACGGCCACCGGTCGTAATGGTTCTGTTCGCGGCGTGCACGTTAAGAATGTGGTGGACACCACTGCCGCTGGAGATACCTTCGTGGGGTACTTCTCGGCTGAATTTGCAAAGTATGCTGCCACGGGACAACCTCTCGAGGACTTTGACGCTTTGATCGAGTCTGTCGTACAACAGGCGAATCAGGCAGCTGCCATTTGTGTGCAGAGAAAGGGTGCAATCGAAAGTATTCCATTTGCATATGAGATCACAGACCGTCAATAAGGCGACGCAATATCCGCAGAATACAATCAAGAGCAATGATAATGAATACTTTACCAATCAATCTACCGCGTCTTCATCGTATTGTGCATTATTCCAGCACGAGCGCAAGCTGTCTATCTCAGAATCTAGCTTAATTCCAGTGGCAGTGGCAATACTACCAAGTAGGTCGAGTAGGATTGATTGCTGCGATGTGTGGGTCATCTCTGGTGCTATGGTGAGAAGACTAGCGATCAGGATCGGGTCCCACTGCTCCTTGAACTCATTGCTCGTAGCAATCCCTGTAATGGCTTGGGCGTGCCAGAGGCGAGAGGCGAAACGTCTCGGGCCTGCTATCGTCTTCAGTAGCCTTGGCTTGTGAATAAGTAAGAGGAATGAGGATATATGGTAGATAGTATTGGCCAAAAGGGCAAGAGGTGACGTGTAGATAAGAATAGGACAAGATGAGCAGTTCCCTGCATTAATCTCATCTGCCTCCACACCGCGAATGTCTAGAACCGGTCGCATCTCCACGTGGCGGTTGTGGTACCATTCCTGACAATTGGTCCAGAGAGACGTCCATCGTGACGTAAAATCCGTTTGCAGTAAGGTATGCACGGCGAGCTGTCCTCCACGTTCGGTACTTGGGGATAATGTATCAGCTGGGCCGAAGACGAGGGACAAAGTATCCGCTAAAAGAAGCAAAACACTCAAGAAGACCCATTTTGACGGTCGTTGTTGTGGCACTACTGGAAACGGGCCATCAGGCAGTAATTGGGAGCGGTATGACATCAATGGCGCTTGTGCACTAATGATGCCGGCAGCAAGATCTTCGGTACAGATGTCAAGTCAGCCTTGTGGATTTGCGGAGCGACTTGATGAAATTGGGAAAGCGTACCAATTCGAGAGTGGAGTAGCCACCATGGCTGGTTTAGCACACCTTGTGGGGTATTTGCAAAATCTAGACTACTCAATCCACGAGTACGAGCTCGAAGAAAGTCCCGCCATTGTCGCGGACGGGAGATGAAGAAGTCGTGCAACATCAAGAGGGCTTGTCCCATTGACTTGATAGGATCGTCCGCGTGGGCGAGACCGCGTTCAGCCTCATCCTGCAATGTAGCACTCACACCGATGGCATTGCTGTGTCGCTGAAGTGAAGCATGACTCAAGGCAAGCGCCATGATGGCAGCCAACAGTGGTCGCTCCGTTTTTGCGAGGAGTAATGCCTGGATCTCAAAACTGCAGTCGGGATCTCCAAGATCAATCCATGGGGCCAGATGGTAGCGAAAGTAACGCAGCAGGCCAATTTCATCGACTCCACTGGTCGGGATGGGATGAACCGGGTTGCTGGTGATGGGAAATCGGGAGTTCGAGCTGCAATTGCCCGAAACATACGCCAGAGCCCTACTCTTGGCAACGGTCCCCCGGTTATTTTGGAGCTGGGAGGTAGTACTAGAATCCGAAAAAGTGGACTCCCGGGAGATATCGGCATCAACACCGGAAGGATATGCAGGTCGGTTGAATTCTGCAACATCGACATGCTCAGCAGTGGTCTGTTGGATCGGCTGTTCGATGATAGCGCTCTGGGTAACACTCGCGGGCGGAACTGCCCCCGTGTCAGTCGCCTGGCCATTTGTACCAGGTCCACAGCTCGAGGTGATGTCTGACGTCGCCGGGCGGTCATCAATAAACTACCAGTCCATCAGCAAATGCGATGCCACCGAACGCATGAAACCATCCTACTTCGATCGTATTATAATTCACCCTAGTAGCCGGCGGCCCTTTTGGTGACTGTATCCGTGGGTTCGGCACGGACACAAAGGTAAGATCGGCGCCATAGCGACACGAAAAACCCTTCGCCTCGCAATTTTCACAGCGAGGTTTTCCTTCGTCGCCTGACAAATGCTGGGGTCAGCCACCGGATCCTGAAACATGTGGGGAAATGCCATACACTTCCTTCTCCGCCGACGACATGTCCAACATCCCGTGCGGACACGTTTTTGTTTAGCCGGAGTTGGTCTGCTGGACGGCATAGTGCGTTGACGGTGTTGTTGTGGTCTGCAAGATTATGGAGAAGGACCGCCGAAAAGAGGACGTCGAGCCTCCGCACCCCAAAAATGAATAATTATCCGGAGTGGGCCCGGAGGCGAAAAACTGGAGAAGCATCCAGACGAAGACTTTTTCTGGGCGCGACTTGTCAAGTAGGGTTTAGATGCCCCGCAATACTCAACAATTATATGAGAAGCCGAGCAGGAAGTATTTTAAGATAATAATCTTGATTCAAGCCTCTCAGCAGGCTCTTTATCAGGCGACTAGAGCGTCAAACCTCCAAAGTTGGGTCGGAGGACAGCACGGGTTCAACCTTAGTCAACTTCGTGCCAAGCAGCAGTCTCTCACACTAAAATGCTAGCACGGCTGAGCTTGTCCCTCATCGACTCTGGGACTCGACTCACGAGAGGGGAAACTGTTACCTAACTTTAGCCCTAATGTACCACGTGAAAGCAGGAAATAATCGCCCGATCATCCCAATTAGGGAAACAGAGGCTCCAGACCCCTGGGTATACTCCGAGTAGAGAACGAGGTGCATTTGGCAACATGCCATTGCCAAGGTGGCGGCAAAAAATAAGCCCCAAACTCTGCTGTCTCCATAGAAAGTTTAATTAAAAAAAATTAACAAAGACCATAATGAAAATTCATTCGTCATGTCACCTGGCGGAAAGGGTTTTCAGCCATTCTGGGTCACCTTTTGAGTGGATGGAAGATCAAGGGGGAAATGGGACATATATATTTCCCCAGATCCCACATGGTCCTTTCCCCGGAATGTCCCCCGGACTCATCCTCCTTCGCTACATGAAAACCCCTTGTCACAATGGCCGTCGACATGTCCTCCGAGCGGGAGG